ATCAAAAACTGCATACATAACAACATAACCATAATCTTAATTTACCTGGTGGCGGATTCTCATCCTCTAGTCAATCAATGTTTTTCGGTACCAACCGACTTTACTTCTGGTTGGCAACTAGAATAGCTATTCTCGCAATTGTGGCGAATGCCTTTGCGAGTCGATTTGCTCTAATTTAATACTGGTTTATACGGTTGTTAGTAGCAATTTTTAGTGTGCCGATCAGAAAATAGATGGAGACCCTGTCTTCATTTTACTTGTATTAAACCCAGTTCCGGGATGGAACCAAAAATGGGTTGTGTTTTCTCTCTGCGGGACCTAAACCGTGCTGATGAGCTGTGATACAGCGAAACGCGTCCACGGATGGTCTTGCAGAGATAAAACACTTCTCAATCGGTCCTTAATTGGGCCGTTACCTAATTAAAAAGAGAATTTATAATACAATAAAAATGTAAGGGTAAAATTTCTTGCCGACACTATTGGTTAAATTAAAGACCATGTCGTACAATGAAAATATAAATAAAACTTAATTCGTTACCTGAGTAGCTTTTAAAAATTATAATTTCTCCACAACATTGAATCACCCTGAACCAGCCTTATAGTGTGCGAATTCCGAAAGTTTAAAAATGTAAACTTTTTTCATGAAAAATATACACGCAAAATCAAACGCAATTTGCAAACGTAAAAATAATTTTTATTCCTGTAATAAAAAAATAACACTACGCACGCCTATGATATCAAGCGTTAGCCGAGTTTTTATGTGAAATTTTCCCCTCTGCCTCTTCAGACGTTGTAGCTCAAGATCCATACAACTAACTTTATATGGAAAATGAGTTAAAAAAAAAAAAAAATAAGTTCAACCGTAAAGCTTTTATTTGGGACACTTCTTTCTAAAATGTCAAATTAGAAAGGAAGAGGGTGTGATATTTATAACCAATAACCCTGTACATGTCAAGCGGGACGGGAAAGTAAATATTAATTTTCACGAATTAAAAGTCATCAAACCTCAGAGCAAGCCAAATATAGAATTAAGAACAAGCTAATATAAACAAAGGCGCATCTGAAACTGGATAAAGACTAAGTACCTATAACAAAAACACCTTAAGATGAGATGAAAACATCAGGATCAACCTTCTGAGAACTACAAAACAACAAAAGGTCTGTTTCCACAGAAATCACAAACCAGTCAGAGCGATTTTCATTGGCTGAAAATAGTCAGGAAACTGGTTGTTGGCGATTTGGACCAATCAAAAACGCTGTGACTGGTTTGTGATTTCTGTGGAAACAGACCTAATATCTACCCATAATTAGAATGATATAGATGCTTTGTCTAAATTATATCAAAGAGATGAAAATAATCTAACCTTAAAAAGGAAAAAGTAAATGTAGAACAGAGATTGGATAGCAATTTTCAAGCTAACAGTCTATTTCTTCTTTCTAAAGTTTTTTTAGTTTTGATCAAAGGACCCCGCACACCTCTTATGGGATTTGGGACTTCCGCCAAATTCAACCAAATTCTAGTATGATATAAATTTGACCTTTCTGATCAATACTTAGCATTGGCTCAACTTGATCCTATGACTAGTTTTTGAGATACAGGTAATTTAATGTTCAAAAAATTTACTCATTTTATATGCATTTACATCTACCTGTCGCCTAATAATATACCAGGATGGATAGGTATCCTCACGCTCAGGTGACAGGTTGATGTAAATGCATATAAAATGAGTACGTTTCTTGAACATTGAACTAGCTGTATCTCAAAAACTAGTCATAGGAGTAAGTTGTGCCCATGGTAGCTATTGATCAGAAAGGTGTAACCTATTGCATACTAAAATTTGGTTAAATTTGGCGGAAGTCCCAAATCCCATAAGAGGTTTGCTTTCTGTCAATAAATAAATAATTTTCGGTAGTGTACAACCTTGATTTGAGTTTAGTTCGACTTTGTGAAAGGGGAAGATGAGGAACATTTAGACAAATGACAAATACTTAATATATTTATTGATGTAATAACAGTTCCAAATGACATAATGTTCTATTCAAAATAAAACTTTTGTTTCAGAGCCCGGAAACAGCGCCAGCTGGACGTCGAGAATTTCCAACGCTACGTTGTTCTTTTGTTTCATTGTGTCCATTTTTAAAGTTGTGTTCCGATGATTAAGTGAAGTTAGTATAAGTGAAGAAGAAAAGGAGAAAAAAACCGAAATGAACGGTAATATTATATAGATTATATAAATTGTTAAAATTCATCATTTCATTTGGTCTTTTATAATGTATTTCGGCAGTGGAAGATTTTTAGGTTCATATTTTTTAAAATTAGCAGTCGGTAAGTTATTGAAAGGCTTTATTTACTAAGTATGTATTAGGTACCTACCTATTATAACAAATCAATAAATCTTCATTATTTCAACAAAAACTGATTATGGTCTATAAATAAGGCATTCTAAAAGGATCGGGACAAGATAAAAATATCTATGAGAGTATTTGAGAGAGCACAGTGTCAGTATCTATGTTCCTGAGGAAATTTTCAGAAGTAAAATGAAAAGTAGGTAAGTCTTGTCCGAAACTTAACGAGCTGAATCTGCTTCAAATCCTGAAAATCGATCAACCATCTACTTGCTCAATCGCCCAAAATACGACCTTTTAGTTGAAATTGAACTAGAGAAGTGAACTGCGCTTTCTGATCATTCTAGGACTGAGTTCAGCGATTTGGAAGAGATCATTTTAGAGAAGCATACCAATCTTATAACCGAATTTACTAGATCAGATATTCCAACTATGTATACAGGGTTTCCCACTAAGGTCGAAGAGGTACGATATTATGGAAACCATAGACCTTACGTAACTTGAAAACGAATGCAGATATCGAACTGCGGTTTGCGCCTAAATGTAGATATTTTTTTGCTCTTTAAGCACAGCAATGAAAAATAATATCATGTTATTTGGATTTTCCAAGAAAATTATAAAAAACTGGATCTTGGTTAAACAGCGCCCTCTAGAAGACGCGGTGGAAACTATCGACCCCGAACGAAGTGGTGCTCTTAATAGCAATGAAATTCTCTTTCAAAAAAGCCCAAATTGAATGAATTTGGTTGAGGGATATGGAAGATACAGCAATTTTTAAAACTATTTTTTCACCAGCTTCCCTCACCCTTATTAGTGAAGATCACTGATCTTAGAACAGTTGTTCGAAAGATAAGACACTGCGCAGGCGTTACCCTGTTCCGTTGCACAACTGTTTGTAAAATATTGACCCCAAATTTTAGCACAAATTTTGCCAATCAAGCCGTATGATGAAAAAAGCCTGATGACCAAACTGGCGCGAAAATTAATGAAGTTTTGATTTCTGTTGTTGAAACAGTATGTTAATATAGCGATTTCTTGAGAAAATTAGAGTTTCTAGTTATATCATCTTAATTGCGCCCCCTAGCGGTCATCTTAGAAACTTGAAAATAATTTCCATCAATTTCTCTCGGCCGATTTAGTGGAGAAAAAAAAATCCCGAAGCCGTAAGGTCTATGATTTCCATAATATCGTACCTGGCCGACCTTAGTGGGACAGCCTGTATATGCATGAAAATCATATTTTTAATTATATTCTGATATACTAATGATGGAGCTGAATTTATAATGTTATCTTGCATTTTTTGGAACTTACAATTGAAATTTTCACCAGAAGTTTCTTGATCTTGAAAATAATTACTACACGCTCTCTCAAGGTCAAGGAACTTCTGGTGAAAAATTCAATTGATCTGTGAGTTTCAGGAAATGCAAAGTAACACTGCTATCCCAATAAACATTTTTGTTTTTATAATATTTACCGTAAATGTTATATCACCTTCTCTATATAACTTAAGGTTTTATATCCATTTACCGAAATATTTCTGTTACTCTTATAAACCCTTTAAAGAGCTTAAATTGAGCGTTTATAAAGGTTTCGAAAACCTGTGTTTAGTAACGGTACATAACTTTAATTTATGTAACCATTGGTAACGGAAATATTGTGGTAACCATTATATAACTTTCAAAATAACCCTGTTTATCACCATTAGTTATATAATGTGGTGTTATAAAGGTTTCGGTTACTTTTATAAACTGTGTTTATAATGGTTTTCGTAATATTTTCCTTACCAAAGTTTCTTAACTTTACTATGTCATCTGTCATCTTGTCAATTCTGCCATTATATTATTAAAAATACATATTTTTTCTCTCTCAAATACATTGCTTTAAATGGTCTCCTTTTATTTTATTTCCACAATTCTATTTCAAGATGTCTGTTACTAAATAAAAATAAATATGGAGTCCAAATTATAACAATATTAGAAAACGATGGTACTTTGTTACAACTTTACAGCACTGGAAGACTCAAAATATGGTTGGGAAACTTTTTTTACTGCAAAAGTGGAACCGGTACTTCGAAAAAACGCAGGGGCCCTTGAAATATTCACTTCTTATTAATTTCAAATTAATTTTCTTACAAAATATACATATGTAAATATTAACTAAAAGGAGATTTAAGAACAAATTATTATCATTTCCGTTTCGCATATGCCAGTTTAAAACAATTATTGTATTTTTTGCATCAAAATCAGCTAAACCTAGTGTTTTTGCAACGCTTTATTTTTATTATTATGATTTTGGGTAAAAAAATATGGCGGACCACTTTAGTAACAATATAAACCCTGGGAACTATAATATCACCTAAGGTAATATTTTATAACTATTAGTAACATTATATATCTTATGGTAACATGCGTTACTAAAAGATCACTATAAGAAATTTTATGTCATTGAAAAATTAAAATAACGTGTTCCGTAAGTTTCCCGGAGACCAAACTGTACACTCCCTTTTTGAAATAAATACATTTGCTGACATATCTAACCTCAAACTCAAATCCTAAATTTCAATATTTGTTTGTGGGTGTATGGTCAAAGTTATTTTAATATATTGTGTGTTTCATTTGTGCTTTTGTGCACAGTACTTTTGTGTTAGTGTAATAATGTCGTTTAAAATCGTCCAAACCAGAGAACCTGGGCATAAGCTGCCGTCCCTATCCATTGTACCATCTGCATGGGAGAAGGATGGTACTTTATTTTGGCCTCCAGCAAAGAAAAAGGGACTTCTGTTTAAAATTATCAGGGATGGAAATTCCAGGCCTGAAACTGACTGGGTTCCTCAGCCTTGTACCAAAAAGAGGCAAACCTTCTTATCCTATGAGGCAGCTGATCTCGAGCTCACAGCAATGCAAACCAAAAGTGATAGCGAGGGTGGTGAGCCATCAGGAAAAGAGTTGCCCAAACAAAGGCTGACAATTAAAAAGAGGAAAGAAATCGGTCGAGTTCCAGCGGCTGATTTTAATCTTCTCGCTGAAGAATGCAAGGTAAATTGCTTGGATTTTCATGTCTAGTTATTTTACAATATTATTAGTAATAATTGTTAAGTACAAAATCAATGTTTATATTGCAGAAAGCAACGGAAATGTTATTTGGGGAAGAAGAAACAACGCAAGAAACTGTGCATAGTGGAAACCAGTCAAAGCTTTTATCCATGGTATGTTTTTTTTCCAAAAATTAATTTTATTAACCTGGTTTTATAAGCCAGTGTTAACCCTGCTAACTCAAAATAAAATATGTTAAACTCTTGATTTATCATTTTTGTAGTAAGGTGAACTTGAGCAGTATATGAAGCCAAGCAACGAAGATCGATATTTTAGGCAAAATTAAGGTTATTTAAAAAAAGTCTGACCCTTGTTGTATATGCACTTTTTGCCAGACAGTCGGTATAGGTTATCAGAATTATATTTTTTTTTTCAGCCAATCAATAAGAGGAACGTTCCACAGATTTACACAATTTTTGGACCAAATGAAGCTCAAAGTAATTTGCAGACAATTAAGGTAAGGACCGAGATAGGGACATACAGGCACATCAATACAAATCCCGTCCTACATCAATACGCAGCCCCAAAAATATCCAACTTCAATTATTAATGTAGTGATATTAATAATAATTATGATCGTATTTTATATTGCAACTGTTTCGTTACATAGTTATAATAATTTTTATATCTTCAGATAGTAAATAATCCATCTTCAAGTTCAGCGGCACAACCATCGTCTAATTTTCTGGAGGTAGAAGAAGACAACCAGTTGACATGTGAAGTTGAAGATGAAAATTTAAGTCAGCTAGTAAATTTGTGTCTAAATAACCAAAATACAGTGATGGAAAATCAGAAATTACTTCTTGAAAATCAGCTAAGAATAATGGAACAATTGTCTAGTCAGGAAACTATACTTCAGATGGTTTGTGAAAATGTAGCAAGAACCAAAATCACAGCATCCACTAATGCCACTGCAGATGAAATTGTCTCTAACAAAAAAATACCTAATGATCCTCTTCCAATCGATTCAATGGCCAAATTGGAGAAACTTGAAATTGATCTCAGAGATGAATCTTTCATGAATCAAATAGTGAGTAGCAAAGTATATGCCATATGTTATTGTTCATATCTAATTATTTTTTTATAAATAATTTATTTTTATTGCTAATTTTGTGTATTCATTTTAGATTAAATGCAAGTCCTATATATGTGGAAGCAATGGAAAAATGAATGGCATGAATTGCTCATACCGCTTGATTGATCATTTTTTTAAAAGGCAGTTTTTGATGCAATTTTCCTGGAGTGGTGGAAGTAGAAAGGATGAACACAAAGTGGCTTTCAAAAAATTCAAAAATGTCATGACAACATTTTACAAAATTATCAGTAGAGCAGATTCCCAATTTACGGAAGCAGAGTGTGAAATTTTTTTTAAGGGGGTTATTAAAAACGCAAAAAGGCGCTTTGAACTACGGGAAAACAGCAACGAAAAAAAAAACAGAGCTTCTAGTGCAAAAAAAAGGCCGAAAAATCTTACCTACAGAAAAGTAAATGAAATTGATTCGGGACAAGAAGAAGCAGACAGTATGGAATCGACTGAAGAAGCCCATGAGGAGGATGAAGAAAAAAAAGAAAAAAAGGCCGATGAGGACTAATTAAGTTTTTTTTGTTTGTTATTAAAAGAATTAAGTTTTTGTTTTGACTTTTTAAAAAAATTAGGTACTTGTTAACTAATATTGAATAAATATTTCCGTTCTATATATTACAAAAAGTATTTTATTACAAGGTATGTAACAGTGGTATAAAAACAAAAGTTTCCTGATTTTTTTTTGTACAAACTAATTTACATTTTATTCTACTCAACAAATAAAGCTTTCCTGCGTTTTCCTGGCTGTCAGACATATAAATATTTAAATATGATGACTGTATTGGAGTTTCGAAAAAGTTATAAGTGTGTTTTAGGGAAGACCCATAAATAAAAATATTTTCATTTTCAACAACAACATTTTTCATCATCACAATTTCATTATCGTGTGTTCAAAACCATTTGTTTTTGAAATCAGCATTTAAAGTGAAACCATCAGTTACTTCTACTTGAGAAAAAAATTTTACATTGATGGTGGTTGGAACAAATATTCCTTCCCCGTCATTTTCTCTTTTTAAAATGGGATACTTTTTTTTTGTAATATTATTTGCCTCAAATATTACATTGTCACTTTCGCTTAACATCTTAGCTTCTTGAGCTAACGGATTTCTTGCATTTATAAGCATATTTTTTATCTGATAAAGCTTACTTTCAAATGGATACGATGAAAAAGATGATAAAATTCCAAACTTTTTGACATCATCAACTAAATGTGATAAATTATGCACATTACTTGTAATATATTCTTCTCCGTATAAATCCTTGTATTTTTCAATGTAGTGAATAATCATTTGATCAGCCAAATTGATGTATTGAGAATAAATGTTTGTTGAGCATATAGTAATTGCACAAAAAAGGACCAAAAAATGTTCATATACATCATATGGTAAATATTCTTTTAAAACCACAATGCCAATGTAATAAAGAAATGTGCGATATTCGAGACCCTTCCATTGTGGAAGGCAATCAAGACCTCTAACAGCACGATGAATTTCTAGTGGCATTTTACAAGTAAGTAAAAAAGTTGATATATTCTCAATATCTCTAGCAGACCATTTCATTCTGAAGCTACGAAAACTTCCATCTCTCCAGCCCATTAAACACCGCTTCATTATTCCCAAATCGATGAGGTGGAGAGAATCGGCAACTGGAAAATCGTCGACCATATTAATCGGAAGATTTTCTAGTGGTGTAAAGCACTTGTGATGTAAATCATATTGTCTTGATCTAAACCCCTCATCGGTTCTTTTAGGGCATTCAATGCGTGGAAAAATATTACAATGAGTTATGTATGAATATTCCCCCACAGTCGTGCATTTAAGACATCCGTGTTGGCCATTGAAATTAGCAACACCTAAAATATATGATTCAAGTAACTATATTCATTAAATAAAAGTTTTCCATAAATTTACCTTTAATGAACGCTCTGGCTGGAGAATCTGATATGAAACATCTGATTTTAACCTGCAAAATTTGCCCATTTTCTAGTGCAATTCCGTTTTCTAAAATGGGTTGCGCCTCTTCAACAAAAGGTATCAAAATTTCTTCAACGTTAGGTGGTTTGCCTTTTCCGCTATAGATTCCAATTACCATTGGTTGCAACTGAGGCATTTCAAAAATATTAAATAAGATTGGCCAGAATTCATCCTTTGAACTCTTATATATTGGCAAGCCGTCCATGTTCACATTTATGGAAATCTTTGATACATTCTGGAAGCTTTTATGGCACATAGTTAAGCAATATCTAAAGCCTTGATGCCAGTAGTGCCCCTGGCCCATTTGTTGAATAATAATCGAAGTTGGGGTTCCAAGCAATGTTCTCGGATCCATAGGTAAAACATTTGGTAAACGATTATTAACAATACTTATAAGTTGCTTCAATGCTCGATGGGTAATATTAAAATCGCAGGCCCATTTCATTATATCATTTCTTAGCTGTTCATTTTTTTGGATTCCAATTTATCCTCGTAAAAATTATTCTCATCTTCACTGTCATCTTCAAGTTCAATCGACCATTTATTGCTATAATCATCATGTTCATCAGTTCCAAGTAATTTATTTTCTTGTCCAGAAACTTGTGTATAGACTTGTCCTTCAGCCCATTCGTGTGTATTAAATAGAGATGCATCAGTAGATGAAGAATGAACTTCTTTAAATGATACTGCACTCACTGAACTTGCATTTGGGGTAGTTTTAACTTGAACAACAACACTACAAGTCATGGAAGATTCTGAAGTGGAGGGCACTGAATTTAAAATTTTATTGAAGTTCTTTGAAATTTTTCGTCGAAATGAGGTGCTGTACTTCATTTTTTTAAAATTATCCATGATGCACATCAAATTTCTTACAACAATATAAACAACAACTGCTTCACATGTCAAATTAGGTTATTTGTTTTTACTAAAAGTTTTATAAAAGAAATTATCGTTACCAAAAGTTTTATAATATATACTGCAAACACTACTAGTTTCCAGTTTTTATAAAGGTGATTGACAACACTTCTATATAACTAGGGGTATTCTAGTTATATAAATCAGGTTACGGTAATCTTTATAAAAATTTCTTATAAATACTTTAGTAACGGTTACTAAAAGTTTTATAAAGTGGTGATGGAAATAGTTATATCACCTTACTATATACCTATGAGTTATAGTAATCTTATAAAAACATTATAAAACTATGTTACCATAAGTTGCAGATAATAAAACTTGGAAACCTTCTTATATACCTTTGTTACCATTATATACCTATTATATAACTTGACGTTACCATAGGTTGCGAAAAATGTTTATTGGGATGCTGGAGCCAAAATACACGGATTAATCACGAAACTCTGATTTCTGATCATTCTACAGTTGAATTTAGGCGAGAGCAGAAATTTAATTGGAGGAGCAAGAAAATTTTATCAGGACTCCTTAATCCTATGCGCTTTTCAAGAAGCCGAAGATTTTCAAGACATTAGTGTTGGCTAAGCACTAAACCAGAGAGCAAAGCTTCTGAAGACACAACAAGGTCCAGGATTCGTAACATTCTATAGATTCTTAAGCCCATAGACTGAGATTTCTTAAAGCTCATGAGTATATAACTAAAAAAGTGTTTTGCGGATAATCATTAAGACTCCGAAGCACAACACTGAAGACTTCCGATTGACTTTAACGACTTTTCTGCTATTTGCAATGCTGCGCTACAATTCAAGATCGAGTGGAACTTGAAATACAATTTTGCTTTGCACTACTGTTTGAGGTCCACCACAAGTCTAGTTAAAATAAACCTCAGATTTTGCGGCCAGGTTTTATTTTAACCTCACTTTTGGCTAGTGTTTTTTTTTTTGTTAACAATCCTGCGTGACGATCGGTGTAGGTAAAGTCTGCCACATGAAAGATAAGGGACCGCAAGAATGTGAACGTCTGCGCCCCTACGAACAAACAGAACCCGCATTATTTGTCTTTGTGTAGTCAACAGGCTATTCACTTTTTCTCGATCGGTTTAGTTTGCTTAGCATTTGCTTCCTCTGCCCTTTCGGGCGTCGTCTTTTATCTTCCGTGAGGCGGACTTTATTTGTGTTTCCGCGACGTTTTTTTTTTTTTTTTCTCCGAGTTATCCGAGTAGAAATCAAGAAAAAAACTTTTTTTTGCATCAACAACAATATAGATCACTTTTGTGTATTCTCTGATTGTTGATTGCTTTTATTTTTGTGGGTTCATCACATTTATTTAACCTTCGTCTTCCCGGGTGGGGTACAAATGTACCCCAGAAAACAATTTTTCTAGCATATTTTGCCAAAAAGCGCATATTTTTTGTGACCAATTTTATTTTGTGTTAGTAAGGGCTTTGCATATAATTAGTGATTGTCAAATATTTTCAATTTATTTATTTCTTAGAAATATTAATTTTTGCATAGCGTGGAGCACATGTACCCAATGACGTACCTAACGTGGGAATCGGTGGCTACCCTATCAAGTAGTCACCTTGCAGGAAATTTACAGATTTCCAACCTGCAAAATTTAGAAATCAAGATAATAAAGCTGGTCAAGAAGTATCTGTGGGGCAGGAAGAGAACGAAAGTTTACGGGAAGTCGGAATATTTTAAGGAGTTTTTGACAGAAATGTCGAAATATTATATTCAAAAAAAGATATGCGCAAGTAATAAGTTATAATTATGAAGAAAAAAAAAAACGAATGTGTTTATATTTCATTCGCAAAGATATTTTAACGTTAAATTCCTTGAAAAAATTCCTGATTTCTGCCTTAGACTACGCATAGGAGATCATTTTTGTGCTGTTGCCAAAAGCTTCCAATTCTTAGCTAAGATTTTTTTCCACATTTGATACGTTCACGACCATGCGTCACACATATGTGACAAGCAGTTTTTGCCAGGAACTGATGTCACACATGAGTAACAATGACCCTACAATGATTGAATGCAAATAATTCTCGGGCGGTTCAGCAGTTACAGATGTGTTTTGGCATCAGTTTCTGGAGCTGTCTGGCACACATTTGTGTCGCATGGTTTCAATATTGGATAATTTGTTTCAGTCATAAACATATGGCAGCTGTGGTTTATATTGCCTCCCAGCTAGTGCAGATTTCTGTTGTTTCTAGACTCTTCTACTAGAGTAGCACGTTACAAGGTAACTTTTACTGCATATTGAACAGTATTTATCGCCTATACAGCGTAGCCGAGAGTCTAGAACTGCTAACTGTTTATGTCACACATGTGTGTCGCGCGGTTTTCCATTGTGACAGGTGGTAAATTTTAATGGAAAACTTACCGGAAACCGATGTCACATATATGTGACATTAAATGTAAATACAAAAAATATATAACAAAACAGATATAACCTGTAAAAAAAAAAAATATTTCTGGTCAAAAGTTTTACTACCCAAAAAAACGCGACTGGTTTCAAGTATCGTCAAATTTCATAATAGCGGTCGTGAACGTGTTAATGATGGTAACCTAGTTTGTTTTAAAGAAACACGAGTGCAAACATCTGTTAAAGGGGGTGTGCG